CAGCAGGACTTGCTAGCTCTTCTTCCACAGACACGTTATATGTTTTCCGAAGAAACTGTGGTCTGGAATCTCCAGCTGCAAAGATTTGTACCGGCACCGATGAACTTCTTGGAATCGTCCCGCCTGCAAGCGAAAAAAAACAATCTTGCAGCAGATGCACAAATACCTTCTACCTAAAAAAAAAATACGTATTTTTCCACTGATACTGATTTTATGTCTCTTTTAATTGTGGGGTTAGGGTTTTTTTTGTTTTTGTTTTTTTAAAATCCTTATTGCTACTATTACAGTACTGCCGAAAGGCCCTAACCAAGATCGGATTTGTGTATTGGGTGTTAAATCTACAATATATGAACTTGAATACATACAGCAATATTAATACAGACAGACAAAGGATGGACTGATGAATCTCTTCTTCAGTTGCATTCCCCACAGCACCCAATTTATCCACACACAGCCATAAAGTTGAAGACACAGAGCTCCTATTAACCAAATCAGGGGAAAGCTGAGAGGCTGAAAAAACACTTTGCATGCTCATGCTACCAGGAGTGCAATACCATTCCTAGGTTACATTTCTCTCTGTTCTTATTCAGGTCACAAATGTTTGTTATTCTTTTAAAACAAAAAAAAACCTTAATAAACATGGCTAAGAAAATGATGCTTGTGCTGTTCATCCTTGAAACGGCTTTGGTATCTCCTTTTTAGGTTTTCAATATTCACACGGATGTGCAAAGAGATAGGTTACTCATTTCTTTATGATTGAGTTTAACAAACTTGAGTTTACTCAAGTTACTCATCACATTTTACCACCCTTTTACTCCCTGTTGACTAATGACTGAGTTAGGAATTCCCAGCTTGTGCCTGAACCCCTGTATTCCATGTTGTGCAACAATTAAGTTAAAGGAAGGTGTGAGGTGTATGTTATTTTGCACGTTCTTCCCATAGCCGTAAAGAAATGTAGATTTGCTGCGACAGCAGCAGCAGGAAGCAAAGTTTTACCAAAGATGCAGCGATTACTTTGGGTGCGACAGCTTTCTTATCTTCAACAAACAAGAGCCGACAAAAATACATGATATTTTTAAAATAAAGTCCCAGAACTTATTTTGACAGCATTTCTTCAAGTAAACAACAAAACCAAACCCCATCACCAGGAATAGCTGCATAGACTTGTAGTAAAATCTTGTCTTACCATCAATAGCCGTTACCCACAAGACAAAGCTCTTAAGCTGGTTGACACCTAATGGGATTACTTTTTTTAAACTGATTTGTCCTGTGAACGTATCCAATTCAAAGTATCCATCTTCATTGCCACCAGCTAAGATAAAGCTTATCTCTCCATTTATACCGTCATCTGGATCATCGGCAGCAACCTGGAGGAAAAAAAATGAAAAATTTTACTCTAGTTTCTTGTGCTCTTATTACATAACACAGAATTGCTTATTTGTGTGTAGTTTACAAAGAAAACCATTCAGGTAGCAGATAATTAGGAGTTAGTTGTTAGGGTTTTTTTTCCTTTCATTTATAGCCTATAACAGGAGTGTATAATTTTCTGTCTCTAAAAATCAGCTAAATACAACCACAGGAAGTTTTGGTTATACTTTTAAGTGACTGTCTACGTCTTATCCGTTTCCTGGGTGAAACCTCAGTAAGAATGTTTGCTCTTTGATGCACAGACATTATCATTCCAGCAGCAAGAGTGAAATTCTGCCCCTGTGGAATTCCTGCAAATGACACCAAGGCTGCATCACACAGAGCTTGTTTCATAGTAATTCCAGAGGCCCTGGAGGTAGACTGTTCAAGAGATTACATCAGAGCCATTAAATCAGTACACCTGGGTATGAGTTTTGATAGTGACTCCCTATATATCTCAGCTCCTGAAGCAATTTTTACCTTAGTTTCCTATTGTATTTGTGTAACTGGTTTACTATCTTACAAAAAGTATATCATATCTAAAAATTATTCACAATGCTTCAGCTTTCAGCAGCCTTTCAAAAATTTTATTTTTATTTCCATTTTTGGACTCTAACAACATTCCCTTTTTATTAAGCACCTTACAACAACTAAATCCAAGAATCTTTATTTTCTCTGTCTTATGTTTGTGCAATTCAGGATAGTTCAATATCATCTAAGATCAAACATAAAAAACCTTTATCGTTTGTTCGCTGACCCAGGATACAATTAGAGCATCCAGGACACTGGGATTATGGAATATCAACAGGTGTAAGCTTTTAGAATGAAAGGTGGCTTGTTTCTGGACTCAGAGGACCACTACACAAGTTTAACTAAGAACTCGTGCATACATTCAACTCAGAAACATGTCGTTTTTACTCAGTATTTCTAATACCTGAAGAATGGACATTCCTGCAGTCATGTTGATGAAAATATCGCGTTTATATGGCGTGCCTCTAAAGGTTGGGCTGTTGTCATTTTCGTCTAGCAACAATACGTTGATTGCAGAGCGTGCTTCATAGTAAGGTGCCAAATGATCTCTAGCAGTGACCTTCAAAAAGGATGCAGTAAAATTATTGCTTGGTTCAAACACATTCTGTAAGTAGTAAGCAAGGTGAACGACAATTACAAGCTGAATAAACTGTATCACAAGTGGCATTCCCCTCCAGATAGCTCTAATGTGAGAGTTTTCAAATAAGCTGCTCCTCCATATCAGAGAGTCAGCGTCTTGCCAGGACAGGTATCACCTGTTTGCCTTGGGTTGCTTTGGAAAGAATCAGGTTTATTTTCAGTACCTCAAGGTGAACAGATGGTATTCTCTCCCTGTCCAACAGCGTGGAGTTCCTCACAGTTAGCATCCCAGCTTGGCTTAGCTGGAAGGGACCGTCAGCTGGAGCGAGAACAAACGTTCCTTGGAAGCCTCCCTGCAAACAATAATGATATTTGTTATTAAATAGGACAATGACTGAGCTAGTCCTGTAGGATGTTTTTCTTCTTATTGGCCAGGTGAAGAGCATTTGGTTTTCTGGGTTAATTGAGGTTACAGGTCATTTTGCACTTCTGCACTTTCATATTTGGGACCTTATGCAAACTGGAGGAGTTTCAGAGGCAGCCTAAATTTATTCTTTGGCTGCAGTACTCTAGCCCTTAAAGATGTGAAATTAAGTTTGCTTTGCTTAAGCATATTTATATAGTCAGAAAAAAAAATAATCTGCAGCACTATTTGCTATACCTGCATAACCTGTATAAATGCATTTTATACTGTATTTTGGAAACACGGCATCTGTAGCAATGTATTTGACAACATTGTCATTTTACCTCATCTTTGTCAGTAGCTGTTACTTGAAGAACTTGCATCCCATTTGGGGAATTTTCTAGAATTGAGACATTGTAACTTGATTGTGACAACACTGGATAGTTGTCATTCACATCTTCAATAGTAACCAGAACTACCGCATCAGCCATTTTGAAAATATTGTCCTGCTGAGTTGCCTGGAAAACAAAGTTTGTAGCTGTAAATTCCATACTCTGATATCAGTGAGCTGTTCCAGCTTAACACAAGGATATGACTGCATATATCAAGTGAATTAACTTCTCCTTTATTTTGCATTTTAAATGGCAGGATGGAGCCTTGATACCAACTGCCCTTTAACCTTACTAGGATAAATACTCAACAATACAGCAACATGGATTCACATATTATTTTGTGAAACTAAGTATTAACACACTGAACTCTAAAGCAATCATTACCTGAATGCCCACAACAAGAGAGGGACACTCTTCTCTGTCAACTGCAGTCTTTACTTCCAACACTCCAGTGTCTGCATCGATTGAAAAGGCATTGCTATAGGCTGGGGGTTTCACTGAAAAGCAACAAATTGCCATGGGTTAATGAGAATAACCTGAGCAGTTAAGTCTGATCTGTCCCTTTTATGACTGCTGTCTTCTCAGCCATAGCAAAAATGAACAGACATTCAAGGTAAAAGGCTTTTTTTTCCCAAACACTCTGTCCTCAAAACAATTCTTAGGAAAGTCACTCGCACTTCCAGCGTCTCACATTAAGCATCTCATGCTTAGGAGAAGGAAAAGCTCCTGATGGAATTGATCTCTCTAGGTGGCCCTGAATGAAAATCCTTGGATGAAACGAAAACCTCTAAACTGGCTTTCACTTTGAATTGGGGCTTGTTTGTTGGAGGGAGGTTAAGAGCATCTACGCATTTTTAAAATAGTTGGACCCTGCTATAATGACTGAAATTAAGTTGATTTAGCTTGCGAAGTGGCACTGTAGCCAAGATGTACGCAGTTACGACATCTGACCGTAGGCTGCGTTTCCTCATCATTCTCTTCAGGAGCACAGCCATCATAAGTTACTGCATGAATGTCTAGCAGAAAATAAAGGCTCTTACCTAGTTTGATGCTGTAGTTTACTTTTTCATTTATACCTGCGTCTCCATCTTTGGCCAATATGTCCTCTGGGAGAATAGCCAGATGACCCGTCTAGAAAACATGTATCAACTTGATTAACTTGAAAAAAACCCCACATATAAACTTAAAATTGTTCGTAAAGTCACAATTTTGATTAAAGAAACAAGAAGCATGTTTTTAATCACTGGGATTGGGAAGGAAATCTCTCTCTTTCTCTTTACAGAAGAAAATGATAACCAAAATACTTGATGAATACACTGCGTTTGAGAAACATCACACTATGAAGCAGTAGTCACTGATAGAATTCCTGTCAAGAACACTGAATATTTTGGTTCCATTCCTCTCCTGGAAAACAATATGCAAGTCTACATTGCAGCCCTAATAAAAACAGTAATTTATTTAAAAGATAAAAATATTTTAGAAGATCTAAAAGGATTACTTTCAATTAAAGATGACCATCTAACAAAAAGGACACCAAAGCTAAAACACCAAAAGCACACGTGGTTTAAAATATGTTGAGAATAATGGTAAAGAAAGAGGGATAATGAAGATAATTAACTATCTTAATTTCAGGAGATTACTCTGCTAATATTATACTGCGATTACTTCTTTTTGGTCAATACATACAGAAGCCTAAGTTGAACAAATACATTCCACCTAGAAATTTCCATCCCATATAGAAAAAAAAAAAATCAAAATATAATATAAACCACAGTTTACTGTTCAGAGTCTTATTTTGCTTACCTGATCGTAAGGCAGAATGAAGGAATTACACCATTAAAACCAAAACCAGGCAACCAACTCCAGGACTGACGGGCAGTCAAGTGCCCTTCCAAGTTTACAGTAAAACCCCTGCTACAACACCCGTTTTC